CGAAGATCCTTTTTCCTGTGAATTAGGAGTGATTACCATGGCTTGCTGCTTGAGTTCCCCATTGCCAAAGGGGGGATTTATCTAAGAAAGGCTTTAATGATTCATTGTTCCACCAACAGGTTTGCAGCACAAGCTGACTACCCATACTTATCTGTACCTCTATCTGTGTATTTACATCCACATCTGATACAATAAAGACTGTATCTGGTCTCCATCTGGTTCCTGCCACTGAGCTTCAAAAACGCTTGGAATTTCCTCAGTGATAAAAGCCTTTGTTATTCACAAGTTTATGCTAATGAGGTAGCATCTTTATCATGCTAATTACATTATGCTAATATATGCTGATACAATATACTAGACTAATGAGGCAGTTATGCTAATGAGGTGGGCGGGGTCTTAGATAAGGTCAATGGAGGGGCTGACCACACCACAAACACTGAGCAGGTGATGAGGGGGGTGGCACTTTCAGTCACACCCCAGTCTCTGGGGGATGTCGGCGGGGGTGGGGATGGGGGGTGCTGGCGAGTAGGCCAATGATTTAAGCAACCACGCCTAGCCAATGGACCTCCATATAAAATCTCTGGACCTCGACTCTCAGGGGGGCTTCCTGGTTGACAAACCCATCCAAAGCTGAGAGGGTGATCCACCCAGATCCCACAAATTAAGATCATGAACCTCTGCGTCCGCCCCCAGACCTTGCCCTGTGCCTCCCTTCCATCTGTCTCTTCCTGAGTTGTAGCCTTTAAAATAAAAATAGCACTGTGAGTTGTTCTGGCAAGTTCTGAAACCAAGGGGGGCCACGAGAACCTCCGAATTTGGAGCCAAGTTGGACATGGGACCCCACTGGCAGCTGGCGTCTGAAATGAAGGCGGTCTGGTTGGAATTGAGCCCCTGACCTGAGGGGTCTGCACTGACTCTGGGGGGTTACCGTCAGGGCTGAACTGAACTGTAGGACATCCAGCCCGTGTCGGAGAGCTGGAGTCAGACACATTACTCACACCAACATC